TCCGTGTGGGCAGTATTCTCTCCCAAACATTTGTGCAAGAAACGGGGGTACCACAAGGTGGTGTACTTAGTTGTACACTTTTTATTATCAAAATGAATTCCTTGCATCTGTCCATCCCCCGCAACATGTTCTATTCCACATATGTCGATGACGTCCAGCTTGGCTTTAAGTCATGCAACCTAGCAATGTGTGAGCGGCAGGTTCAGTTATGTTTAAACAAGGTGTCCAAATGGGCAGAGGAAAACGGATTCCGGCTGAACCCAGAAAAAAGTACCTGTGTCTTGTTCTCCCGAAAGAGAGGCGTGTACTCAGAACCTGACATTGAACTGAACGGTCAACGTCTGTCTGTCAATGCGGAGCATAAATTCTTAGGCTTAATCTTGGACAACAAGTTGACCTTCGTACCGCACATCAAGTATTTAAAAACAAAATGTTTAAAAGCCATGAATGTTATAAAAGTGTTGTCACGTACTACGTGGGGTAGTGATAGGCAATGCCTCATGAACCTCTATAAAAGCCTCATTCGCACCCGCTTAGATTATGGGGCCGTTGTCTATGGGTCTGCTACTCAAAGTGCCTTGAAGATGCTGGACCCCGTGCACCATTTGGGCATCCGCCTTTCTACGGGTGCTTTTCGCACCAGCCCCGTAGAAAGCCTTTATGTTGAGGCAAATGAGTGGTCGCTTCATCTGCAAAGCACCTACATGTCCTTTGTATACTTCCTTAAGGTGAAAGCAGACTAGAGGCACCCCTCATACTCTACTATTAATGACTTGCCGAGCTCCATTATTTTTCAAAACAGGCCTTCAATGAGGCAGCCCTTCTCAGTTCGCCTGAAGGGTCTAGCTGAGGACACTGGAGTGTCACTCGAACACAGTTTAATGGCTCCTGTAGCATACCCGCCACCGTGGCAGTGGCAGACTATAGACTGCGATGTGTCTTTTCTAGAGGTTACAAAACATGCGCCCATTGCCCATATCCGAACATATTTCCTGGAACTTCAACAGAAATACACACGTCCTGAGTTTTTTACAGATGCCTCCAAGTCTAACTCCTCTGTGTCCTACGCTGCTGTTGGCCCTTCCTTTTCGGATGCTGGCCCTCTACATCCAGGCACAAGTATCTTCACAGCGGAAGCTTACGCGATACTTGTGGCAGCTAAACACATTAAACAATTACAAATACAAAAAGCAGTAATTTATACAGACTCCCTCAGTGTGGTAACGGCTCTGCACAGTCTTAAAAAACAAAAAAACCCTGTCCTCGTTTCACTTTACTCCATTTTATGCACACTCTACACACTCAACCAACATGTTGTAGTGTGCTGGGTGCCAGGGCACCGTGAGATCCAAGGCAACGAGAGGGCGGATCAGCTCGCTGCATCCGTCCATGAGAGCACCGCCATTACATCCATATCAATCCCGGCCCTTGATCTTAAGCCGTCTCTCAAACGAAACCTCAGGGACTACTGGCAGAGCAAATGGGATACACACACACAAAACAAACTACACGTTATCAAGCCACACCTTGGCCATTGGCCACCAGTATCAAAATCACGTCATACAGAGGTAATACTAACGAGACTCAGGATAGGACACACATACACGACACACTCATATCTTTTGTCCAATGGCGACCCACCATTGTGTGACAGATGTGGTGAAGCACTAACAGTTCTTCACATTTTAATTCAGTGCAAGCAATTGGACAGTATAAGAAAACAACACTTTCCATTACCCTACCGACAACATATACCTTTACACCCTGCAATGTTCGTCGGTAGGGAACCGCTTTTTAGTTATAAATCATTGCTAGCGTTTTTAAAAGAAACTCATAGTTTTCATATCATATACCCCGGCATTCCGTAGCACGACCTCTCCTGAGAGGTTTTTGCTGCGGTGGCTACACAAGAAAGCACGTGCCTCACGGCCCTTGGACGCAAGGGTATGAACGAGTGAGGCACTTGTGCTAATGCCATACGTATCCACCATCGTCTTTTATTATCACCAACTTTGTTCATCTATTCGCACCACACACACCTTTCACGGCATGGTCATGATTTTATCACTTGTATATTTTTACCCGCATTACCGCGAGGAATTCTATGGCCCTTATACAGCCGCTAATCACAATCATTGTCCACATCCCTGTTTCATGAACTGGCGCTCTTTGGCCATCAAATGGCCCTTGCGCCACAAAACACCATATATCATCATCGTATTTTCGCCGGTTTGTTGAGGATTTTACAGTCATTGCACAGCCCCTCACATGTCTTTTGAAAAAAGACGTCTCTTTCTCTTGGAGACCTGACCAAACGTCGGCTTTTTCTCATCTTGTAGACCGACTCACGTCACCCCCTTTGTAGGCCCATTTCGACGAATCTGCGCCGACCGAAGTACGCACCGATGGCAGTGGTCGGCGCTCTCCTTGGCCAAAATCAACGCGTTCACGACTGCGCCATTTCTTACGCCAGCCACCCCCTCTCCGCAGCTGAGCGGATCTATTCTATAACCGACAAAGAGTGTCTTGCTTTTGTTTGGGCTGTCGGGAAATTTCGTCCCTTTCTTTACGGCAGACCTTTTACCGTGGTGAGTGATCACCACGCCTTATGCTGGCTGTCTTCACTCAAACATCCGGATGGTCGACTTGGTCATTGGGCACTACGACTTCAAGACTGCATGTTCACTGTTGTCTACAAGTCTGACCACTTGCATCAAAACGCCGACTGCCTGTCCCGTTATACCGTCGACCCACCAGACTCTTCGGCGAGCGATACCATTCCGTCTGTGATTCGCCTATAAAACATTCACATACAAGATGTCGGGGCACGAGACGGTGGGCCATTCACCTTTATTTCTTTTGTTTGATCGAAATCCAACTTTGCCTATGGCCATGATGATGCCTCCTTCGACGTACTTACCCACTGAATACGATCAAGAAGCTATAGTTCGCGCCGACCGTGCACGTTAACTTGCGCGCGTTCGGCTAACTGACTCGCAAGCGGGCCAAAAATCTAGTTACATCAGCAGTCACCGAAACGCCTACTTTCCCCCAGGATCTCTTGTTTTCTTGTGGTCTCCAGCACGCTGTTTTGGGCTTTCCGAGAAGGTACTGTTCCCCTACTCCAGACCATACCACATGCACCGCCAAGTGACCGACGTCACGTGTGAAATCGAACAATTGTCTTCATCCTTGTCTAAGACCCGGACATCGTTCACGTTGTCCGTCTGAAGCCTTACCTTACACCAGACTCCACCAACAGACATATATAGTGACCACCACTTTCACCACCATCTTTCTCCAGCTGCACCGAGTCGGTGTCTTCACCGCGGGAGGGTAACGTTATGTGCCACTCACCTGAGAACGAAGAGGAAGAGGACTAGGTGGTGCCTGCTCTCGCCATCTTGGTTGTTTTTGCCAAAACTACTGTTGACTGTAAATGTTGTGCCCTTTTCTTTCTTCCCCCTGTAACTATATTTTCTGGAAGCATTATCCGCGAGGGCGAACCTAGCTTTTACCTTTATACTCTGCACACAGTAAAGTTGTATATGGAGCCGTTGCCTTACAATGCCTTGAATCAGCACTGACAAATGCCTGCGTTCACTTGGCTCAAAATACTTTCAATAGCCAAATTGAATGCTTACAGACAGTTAGGTTCCATTGCTCGACTTTGATTGCGGTGCCTGCATCCCTTTTTTAGAAATTGAAGGGCAAAGAGAGTTCTGTCTCTGCTCCTGAAGAAAAAAGGCCAGAAGTTGTTGCCTTATGTGCAGAAAGTGGAACACAATTTAAAGAGTGTGACTAATAGTTACAATGTACTGTACCTATAGTTTCGGCTTCTTCATAAGCACATAAACAAGCCCTAGAATATGGTACTACTTAAAATATCGCCGTGCAGAGAACATCCTATGTCACTTGCTTCATGGGCGTTCTGTGCGATATCCCGCTTACTTGCGGAAAGGTGTATATTGGACTGACCAGTCGTTGGGTCAACGATCAAGCGCGAGAAAATGAATGATCCGTTGAAAATACTTTGTCGTTTCATCTGCTTACATATGCATTGCAAGGCTTGTGCATGTGAACTAGTATCAGCTAGCATTTGAATTCTGTGCAGAAGTAGAAAAAACTATCGCGAGAGAACTAATGGAGGCCTATTATATTGAAAAAAAATAAGGTGATTGTATAAGTGACACTTATATTTTGCGGTGCAATATGGAAATACTGTTCTTCGAAACTTCGCTTTGATATATAGATATGTTGCTCTGCCACTCTTGATCAGTGCTGTATTTGATGGGCATTGAACCTGCGTGCACCACTCGCCTATGTATATATTTAGGACACTTGTGAATGAAGCTTAGTTGCGAGCTAGCACCTTGTCCTATCTTTCTCTGTTCCATCTTGTCGTTGTTGATTTTGCACTTCAAAGTTTTAAGAATATGAATCAACAAGCCCACTAACGCATACTTTTAAACAACAACCACGGCCCTCTACCGAATGTGCACAGATTACACAGAAAAACGAGACGACATGCACACTGGGTGACATTTGCTCATTTGGTGCCATTGGATCCCGAGGATGCCACCCACATAGGTGGCGAAACGTCTATGTAGTTTTTTTTTGTTACATTTTGTGGTGTTAAGTAAGAGTATATATTTTAATAATGAACTCGCCTGACTTTGGAACATTTTTTGAGCCTTTATGGAATTCGCATAAACCTTGCTGCCAAATTTTCCTCTAGATAGCTATGTGAAAAAATCAACGATAAGCGGTACATCTCCAGCATTAGCATTCCGAAGGTGAAATAACACGTGCCAAAACTGTATAATGTGGCACGCTACGGAGAGAGCAGTCACAACTTTGAACACCTGTGGTCCACTTCAACAATTTCTTCAGCTGATTAATTATCCTTTGTGCTTTTTGATCTTATATACGTACATGCACGTAACCGGAACTTGACGGTGGTGGTGATGGCAAGAAATCACTCGAAGTCTCTGTATAAAGGTTATTGCACAAATATATTTCCTAAAGAAACAACTAAAAGTACTTTTATTTATGCGTAGTTAGCCACTTCCTCCTGTTTCATTTAGGCTTCAAGCAAAATTTTCTTGCACTTCTTTTCTCTGTAAATAAAAATGAGGAAATATACTTAAACACACCACTTCAGTAATGTTAGGTGCAACGTATAAAGTAAGAACCTCAACGCACAGACAACTCCCAGCGGCAATGCATGTTTCTGTGCTGTGCAGGGGAAATACAAGCAGATTATAGAGACGGTGTTGCACTACCACAGATACCTTGTTTTTGTGAAATTAATTGTTTCCATTGTGTACTCAAAATCTATATTTGTAACAAAATACCCTTAAACGGCATCAATATTATTGATTTAAAGCATATATTAGTCCAAGCAGAAAAACGTGATCAAGAAACAACACTCACTACATTGTGGGGAAGTTTTTGAAGCATTTATCATGAAGGTCGACAGATATAGTTACAGGCTGCCTTTCATTGGCGTCGTAGTGATTCCAATCACTGGGTGTTGGAAATTTTCAGTTGGAAAAGCAGTCGATGCCGTTAACTTTACATTTTGCCCCGAATTTCGTGCTACTAAACTGCTTAGTATGTATGCTATAGATATGAAACCATCTACAAGAGAACAAAAAAAATAATCTTGGCTGTGCTTTCTCTTTATAGCACTGTATAAATTGTTGTGGCTATAGTTTCCAAAGTGATCTTTGTGCGGCTGCTGAAAATGACGTCTGAAGAAATATTGCAACACCCAATAGCAAGCACAAGCCAGGGCAGACTAGTCATAGAACATTACTGGTAGAAGAACAGTCACAAAATATTAGTGAACTGAATTGGCGGCAGTAAACAAAACTTTGTTGATTACTCCATGATAGGAATCAGTATAACACAAAAGTGAAACTTGTCCTTACAGAAAGCGGTTGAATGTTTACAGCATACATTGATATACGAGAGCTCGCACAGTGTTTTCATATTTGACAGGTATAGCACCCTGCAACGTGAACGCATTCACGTTGGCGCCTTGTGGGGCATCTCCATGCGGACGATTAGCATCCATGATCTATGAATAAACATATCCTTCTGGCCATAGATGCTGGCGGTAGCTGCACTTATCCGTGAGAGCGGAATCAGAGGAAGCGGGGTGACAACCCAGAGAGCCGTCATTGAATATTTGCCGAGCTTTGGCTTAGGGCACCTGCTGGAGAGGCACGTCAGTAATCAACGCCACTGCCCGAAAATAGAGAATATGTAACGCGCATCGTGCCTATGCTGTGTGCCGACTATGCTATTTCGTGGAGCGAGCACAAGTGCAAAACGGGTAGCTGCAACCATGTGACACCGAGCTATTTTTAATGTGCATTGATGTTATGAGCGAAGCTGATGCATCGGGTAGTGTCGCCATCTGGCGTTGTAATAATGCATAGACAAAATTGCACTTCTTTCTTAGAAAACACGCCGAATGAAATGGACGCGTATAAACCACTCGTCTAAGATCTAATCGTGGTTGTCACGGTCATGATGCATTACTTCACCGTACCAAGTTCACTGCAAAAGTACAGGCTTAGAAATAATAAAAGGCACATCTGTATATCTTCCAGAGCATGTGGCCGTGGCGCTGGTGGTAGCATGACCGGCCTATGTAGTCGCGGACCGAAAAGTGGTGCGTTCGACTCCCGCTGGCGGATCCTTTTTTTCTTAGCTCTTTGATAGCGCGTATTTTTTCCATCTCATTTCCGTGACGAAAACACCTCAATGAAGCCTCAGTGGACCCTTGGATAAAACAATTTTGTGTTTAAAAACGTAGCTTGCTGTATAGAGGGGAGGGGGGGGGGGGGCGGTGGTGATTTTTAAGCGAATAAAAAAGTGAGCTCCGCAACTTTCTGCATATAGTGCGCCACTTCAGCAGTAGCTCACATGGAAAGAGAAATTGAGTCCTTAAAAGACATACAGTAAAAAAAGTACAATTTTAGAGAAATGTAAAATATTGGGAGAGATTTACGTGAGTTCATGAACGTGGACCGCGATCGGCGAGCGGTCGTTGAAGAGAGGACATCGTGGACGAGACAACTGTCGGCTACGATATCCGCCGAGCGTCGCTTGTTGTAGTAGTGGCGCTAGGCTGGAAGCAACAGCATAGCTAGTGCTTGACTTGTTCTTTTTTTTTCATTTCTTGTGAGTGATGCTCAGTTTTTGCTAGATATGCTAAGTTTGTGCTAGTAGTGTTAGGTATGGTTATAGGTGGCAAGCCTTCTCCGGATTTGGTTGGTTCTACGTACCACGCACGCACCACGGGGTTTTTGCAGAACCTGTGACGTGACAAGCTGTTACGTGATGCTGAGATTTTACTCACACCACTAGCGATTACTTTGGTTTTGATAGAAACATGTCATGTTACCACTTGCTGTGTGACTTCCGCAGGAACATGTCACGTTACTATAACTGTTATATGATTTCGAATGACTAATCACTGGGCTTTGTCACGCGAATTCCAGTAATATGACTTGGTGTTACCTGATGTTATGTTATTCCAGCCATGTGTCTTGCTCTCGCATGGGGGTAACATGTCACTCCACCCGATTTTGCGTGGCTTACTGCGGGAGCATGTCACGTTACTAGCTGCCTTGCGACACTCCTTGATATTACTCATGCGCTTAGTTGCCTTGTTACATGACTTACTTGTGTGCCAGGTTAGGTGATTAGAGATATAATGAAAAATACCTGTGTTATTAAATGTGTGGTGTCGGTGCACGTTAAAAACAGTGTTAAATTTAAACAGCCTTCGGCTATGGTGAGTCTCAAAATTGGCTGTACGATTAGGCCTATGGAACTCCCGATTTCACTATTATAATTGGTACGTGATCTTAATGCCGTGACTTCGTGTTGCGTGATTTTAAACACACGAGTTGGTGATCGCAATGTCTTGTGATTTCGTCACGAGAACAGATGTTACATATTAAGACGTGTTTTTTAGTCCCGTAAGATTTTCTCACGTTATGTGACATAACTTTTGATTGTTGTGATGTACTCGTCTCCAAAAATAATTGATTTCTATGGCAAGACCAATTGTCGCGCTCGTAAAAGTTCAGCAGAAGGTGAAGAGCAAAACTAAGTGGCTGCAAATTGGTTCATTTTTCTTTGCATTAACCAACGAAATAAAAAGGCCAGTCAGCACTTTCAGGTCTACGGTAAGATGGCGTTTTATACTAAAGGATCAGATACGATTTTTGAAGTCTCTTTCAAAGGATAAAAATCACATTGATGAAAAAGATCGTTGCACTGATTTTCTCGAACAAGTGGCACAAGTTTTGATAGTAGGATATGTGAATTTAGCATCATTGAGTTCGTGCCTCCTGAAATGGTGATATTGCAACAGGCTTTTTTTCGGCTTTTACGATGCGTATTACAACATAACATTCAAATCAATAGATGCAGTGACTTGCTTCGGAGGGATGTGAAGCAATTGTTTGCGTACTGGAGGAACCTTTAATCTATCTATCTATCTATCTATCTATCTATCTATCTATCTATCTATCTATCTATCTATCTATCTATCTATCTGTCTGTCTGTCTGTCTACCTATCTATCTATCTAACTCTCTATTTGTCCGTCTGTCTGTTCATCCGTCCGTCCATCCTTCTACGTATAGGTGCTCCCTTGACCACTTCCCTAATTTGAGTTAGACCAAAATAATGTGGCGATATGGTAAGATAGTATGGCGAATATAACTCACTTATTATGAAGTGAAAATTCAGCGTAATTCACGTATCATGAGTATAGATCTCATGGCAAGCATGCGAAGGGAAGTAGACTGTGGTGTAATTTTTTGTTCGGTGAAACTTTATCAAATGACGCTAAACACGTGTGAAAATGTTATACGAATAGGCATGCACAGTAACATACGTTTTATATATCCAGTTATTAACATTTCGTAATCATGTCAGGAGCGACATCGTTATTACCAACACTAGAGGCCATAAGCTGAAATGTCGCGCTTGTACTTGTGAGTATCGTAGCTTTGAATAGTGATACGCACACCAACTTCAATACCCTAAATGGACGTTGACCCGACGAAGCACCTTCATATTTGGAGTACATATTTAATGCTTATAACATTCGATGGATAGCACTGTAACCGCTACATACGTTTCACCCAGATTACGCCTGAATAGTGTGATTTTCCAAAACAGCTAGGAATCCTGGAGTTGCTCTGTGGTAGAATATTTGATTTGTTATGCTGCTGCGACCATAACATATTATTCTTTGCATGCATTGGTCGGGTTAGTGCTGCTGATATTGGTTTATCCTAGCGCTTTCGCATTTTAAATGCTAGTATCTATTCCTTCCATTCCTCAGTAGATAATATTTGTTAAATACCTGTGGTAATACCCACAGTCCACAGCCCGTGCTATACGGGGACCATACAGTCACAATTGCCAATCTTTATTGCTCTGCCATTCGAATTTTTGTCTCCACCAAGTTAAAGAGATGATTACGAGCACAAAACAGACGTAGACAGACAGACAGACAGACAGACAGACAGCCACACAGACAGACAGACAGACAGACAGACAGACAGACAGACAGACAGACAGACAGACAGACAGACAGACAGACAGACAGACAGACAGACAGACAGACAGACAGATAGATAGATAGATAGATAGATAGATAGGATAGATAGATAGATAGATAGATAGATAGATAGATAGATAGATAGATAGATAGATAGATAGATAGATAGATAGATAGATAGATAGATAGATAGATAGATAGATAGATAGATAGATAGATAGATAGATAGATAGATAGATAGATAGATTCTCGAGGTACCTGGAGTACGCAAAAAAACGGTTCGAATTGAATGATGCTTCAATCCCATCACGTATCCTGTAAAGGCTGGTGCACACCAGCGACTAGCAGCGGTCGCGCAACCATTTGCGACTGGTCGCAAACAGTCGCGAACGGTCGCAAACGGTCGCAAAGCGACTGCTTTTGCTTGTAGCTGCCTGACCGATTTTTCAGTCGCGCGACTGCAGTCGCAAAGCTGCAGGAACCAATCAGCGACGCTCAATTTTTGTTCTTTTGTTTTTTTATT